TGCAGCAATTTGTCGGAGAGTCCAACCAGCATCACGTAAAGCTTTTATGCGAACTCTCTGCTCTACTGACAATTATCTACGCTTTTCGGATCGTGGCATTGACAACACAACTTAATATATAGTGTTAAAACATTTGTTTTTATCAAGATTTTATTTGTGGAGTGCTATTAAATTGATTTCTTATAGCATATACCGGGACCATATGCTAGCTCCTTGCTAGCTTCTTTCGAAATAGTTAAGACACTGCATTGGGTACCATGACAGTTATTTCACACATAAGTTTTATCAGTATGTTTATTCAAGCAGAACCCCCATGACATGCCATTGGTACAAGTATATGGGAATTCTAAAAAAATATAAGTATTCTTATCCTAGCTCATTTAATTGTCAACAGGGATCAGTGAAGTATTACCATAGTGTTAAAATTTAGATTATGTAATGACATGGAAGAATTAGCCCCATAAAATGGAAAGAATGCCAAAATATTCTCTTTTCCTAACACTTTTGTACAGTATTGTATATAACTGTGAATTATAGGCACCCAAAATACTGTTATTTTTCATTCATCTGTATATGAAAGTTCTTGCACGTATATAGTCATTTTAACTTTAAAACATTGTTAACACCTTGTTTGGCTTAGCTAGGCAGCACTAAAAAGTTGATATTAACACCTCTTTGCTCTCTTTTAAGCCCCACATCTAACTTATTTATTATTCAGGCAAAAGTGGCTTGACGTTAGGCTTAACATATAATCATACTTTCCCATTCTGTATGCAAATTCTATGAAAACAAAGCGCGTTACGCACTGACTAACGACAAACGTGACGATTGGCTTCTTGACTTCAGTACACAGTAACTATGAAACCTGATAGCTCTAGTCTACCTGAATAAACATTATAGTGTTTTTCTAAACTTAAGGCACTGTTATGTAAATTTTGGTCAGATTGTTGTTGTACCTAATACCGTTAAAGCTGCTTAACTAAACGCGTGCAACATAAAACTGTCTGGGAAAACACGTATATAAAAATACAGGAAGTAAAAGTATAAAAGTTTTTTAAACAGTTTACTGTAGTATCTTGTACAAGCGTTAAGTAAACTCGCTTTTGCAAAAAAAAAAATTAATGATTGTTGAACACTAGGCTACAGAGTGGACTAGCTGTGATCTGTCCACCAGGAGCATTGAAACCCGATTTTTGGCGTTCAAGCCTGTAGACTTACAGCTGAGTCATTGCGTGGCAACACAGTTCATAAAGTTTATTAAAGTTCTTAAATAAAACATTATTTTAACGCAACTGCTCATCTTTGACGAAACGTTTAGAGCAACAACTTTTTTTTTTTCTTTTTTACCAGGTGTCAGAATATTCGTTTAGGAAATACTGAAATCTTATTTGGGTGAGCAATACCATATTAAATCGTTTGTCAAAAATAAAAGTTTGATTATATAACTAGAATAATTGTTTTTTCAACTTCAGGCAAAGTTATCTGCGTTAGTCGTTCTGATTTAGAAGTGATAGAATGCAGTTAGTCAACATCACTCACCGCTAACTCTTGGATCACTCTTTACCAACGAATACTAGAATTGATCCTCACATTATAACTCTTATGGGGGATTGTGGTTTCACTTTTCTTTGTGTGTGTGTTGAAAAAGCGAGGACGTTCAGTTATGGGATTCGAACCTTCCACTGGCGCCCTAACCATTCACTAGGCTACGCCAGGACCTAACAAAAATAATAAAAAAAAGGTCTTGGAAATGAAAGTTGTCCATATCTAGCCTGTTGATGCTATGTTCCGGAAAGCAAGGTATTTGTTCTGCATCACTCATTTTTTAATATTAAAAATCACATTAACTAAATCAGGAGAATCGTGGATATTATGATACAGATATTGTTGGATTTAATGCCTGCATATTTTTACTTTATGAAGTTTAATGACTTGTTATATATATATATATTGATATGAAACCTAGAAAGTCGTCAACCGTGGTACTAAGAGCAAATACTGAGCTACGAAAAGCACCATAAATAGAAAAATATATACGTGTGTACTTCATTACTACAAGTTAGCATAAATACTTTGTTCAGAAATTTCACTTCCAATAAATGTTTCAATTATTTACAATAAGGACAGTATGTAAACAAAGGTCAATGTTACACGCATAAAAAAAGAAAGAAAAATACACTAAATAACGTAACCTAGGTATAATAGATACGCGTTATCTTGTAAGTTGGTTAATGCGGACACATCTACCATCATAAACATAACCATTTAAGTAGTTTGCTTTCATCAAAATTTAGTATTGATATAGTACAATTTATATCAATGCGAAAATTCGGCAAAATAAGGTTACGTTACTTTTTAATATTACTTATACACCACAAAGTTTGCGGTTTCTGTGCATATTCAGCTAATTTGATTACTTATCAATACATTTGTTTTGTATGTCCTTACCAAGTCTTGTGTATTTTAACGCATATAGCGGAATTTCGGATAAACAAGTCTATATATATATATATATTTGGATATTAGACCAAATAAGACCTATATCATTGTCATGCGTGATCTAGTGAATAGCTTGCTATGAATCCACAAAAACGCGCTCCGCCTTTTGAGGTAGCGATGTACTATAAGAGTGACAGTTAGATTCCATTATTTGGCCAGACAAGAATAGCCTGAGTGTTGATGATGGGTTCTGCTGACCAGCTGTCTTCGCTCTAACCTATTTGTTCAAATTTATGAATTAGCTACGCGCAGATTGTTCTTGTGTGGCTTTGAACGAAAATTCTAGATAAAGAAAAAAAGACTGATTTTCTTTTTTAGGGGGGGGGGATTGTGGTTTCACTTTTCCTTGTGTTTGTGTATGTTTGCAGGGGGGGGGCAAGTTTACGAATTATCTTTCTTTTAGCGCGATTATGGGTTGTATGTTTTTTCCTTTCTTTTTTTAGTGACATTATAGGTTTTACTTTTGGGGGGGGGGATTGTGATTTGAAATTTTATCACTTTGCTAAACCCGAATAGACTTGAATCGATTTTTATTTCTGGTAAAATAAGTGCAAGAAACATTCAGTTACATCCTATCATTGATGGCAATATTCCTCATTTGTTGACGGTTTGTAAACTTTCGTTAATATAGAGAATTTACCTTTAACTGGTGATTCATATTTGTTTGACATAAACATTAAGAATTTTTTATAATATTTCTTCAGATCCAAACAACTGAATTTGTGTTTTATCATAATATTAGAAAAATAACAAATACAATTGCATATTAAATTTTACCCACACTTACAATTCTAAAATTCAAGGTTCGATTCTCTGTGGTGTAAATAGCCCACTTTGCACTAAAGCAACAAAAACTATTTTTTTCTGAATTTTTGTTTCGAAATTAGGACAAACGAAAAATACGTTTTTTCCATATATTTTTTTTCAGGTATTATTGTAAATATTAAATGTAAAATTTAGCTAGGAGTTCTGGTCGTCATCTCGAACGTGTAATAATACATTACAACTATCTGATACAAAATGAGGTCAAATTGTATCTTTACAGAATATCAAACCATTACGAATTTTATATGAAAGCTTACTATATATATATATATATATATATACTTACTTTTTTCGCCCTTAGTGGCACAGCGGTATGTCTGCGGACTTACAACGCTAGAAATCTGGTTTCGAAACTTGTAGTGGGCAAAGCACAGATAGCCCATTGTGTAGCTTTGTGCTTATCTTCAAATAAACAAATACACTTTTTAAAAAGCGTAATGAGATTTCATTCCAAAGGATTGTTTTTTGTTCGTTATGAAAACCTTGAATTGGTTAGGTCTATTAAAATGATTTATAATTTACATATGATCAGGAAGATTTATTCACACTAATGAACAGCTCCTTTATTTATCATTAAAATATATTCTTTCAACGTCCAGATTATCATATCACCAGAAATTTTGAATCTCAATGTTGCTAAAGTTTCAAAATATACAGCCCAAAATAATATTTTTGTGGTTATACGCCCTTGAAGCAAAATTCAAGTCTCTTTATGTCACATACTTCAAAGCAAGTGTGAAAATGTAAAGAAATATTTCCTGATTTACTATGCTAAAATCCGAGGTACGATTCTCCTCGGTGGACAGAAGTCAGGTGGCCCATTGTGTAGCTTAGCTAAATAAAAATAAAAATAAATAAACCCAACAAAATTAGCTTCTAATTGAAAATCAAAATGTTAAGAATGGCTAAGACTATTCCGTAAAATTGAAAGTTCATATACACTCTGCCCTCAGTAGCACAGTGGTATTTCTGCCGACTTACATCGCTAGAAACCGGATTTCGATATTCGTGGTGGGCAGAGCACAGATAGCCCATTCTATAACTTTGCGCTTAACTACAAACAAACAATCATATACGCCCACAAGGTATTAGATGAAAAAATTAAATAAACGAGATAAACTATAAAACCAAAATAAAAATTGAAAAAAAAACATATTAAATTAAAACCCTGAATTCGATTTTAGTAACACAATGAGTATATGATCTAGTTAGAGAATAATGATAAAATGGCGCCACTATTCTTCAGACTGACGATAAGCTTGAATAGTTGTTTGTATCCTGTAGAACCTATGGTGTTTGTACAGTTTCCCTGAGGAGATAATTCAAATCTGATTACCACAGAACGATGAGCATTATACATCAAACACAAAATACTGCATAGAGTTCTTTCTAATTGTGACAGGTAGATTCTCTCCGTCTGGAATACTTCTACAGTAATATAACACGATCTAGTAATTCCATAACGCGTGTTTTTCGTTCTTTAAATAAGCGTGTCTGAGAAGAACGGAAATACCTAGATTTTCGGGTTAAATTGCTGTTTTGTTATTCTTTAGTTTATCATTACTCTCGACTAATAAAGATATCAGTTTGCATCAGGCGGTAAACCTCGTACTATGACCATTGCATAGGCATACTCTTTCGTAACGAGACATTTCATAAGTGGGTGTGTGATTAAAACGCATAGCGTGATTGTTAATTTCTAAAGCAGCCAAGAGTGAGCGACTCGGACAAAAACAAGGTAAGTACATTATCAATTAACTTTAATTTTTCTAATGTTTATTTTAGGTATAATAGATTCCGGAATATGGCTCGCATTGTTGAAGTCTGTGCGTTTTTTTTTCCTTCTATTTCTCTGTTAACCCTATTGATCAGCAACAGTTAGAATGAACTTAATTAAGAACGACTTCATTTGCAGTTTAGTATGTTGGTTTATTGTTAAGCACAAAGCTACACAATGGACTATCTGTGATGTGCCCACTACGAGTATCGAAACTCAGTTATTAGCGGTTCGAACCTGCAGACTTACTGCTGAGCCAGCGAGGGCTGCGGTTTCCTGTTGTTGTTGTTGAAACAATGATATAACAACCGGTTGTAAAAGACTTAGAAACAGACATGATTATATATACATCGTTATCCATGAAAAAGACAACACTTTAATCCGAATAGCACGATCGTAATGTGAGAGTTAAAACAACTTTATAATTGTATGTAAAATTAGTTATACTATTGAAAAACGCAATAACAACATTGATGTAACATAACGAGAGTTTCAATGTATAACGAGTAAAATAAATTTAAGTTATATAACTATTTATTTGGATTATTAGATTGAAACTACACTATGCTGAATACTGTAGTGAAATTACTTTTTACTTGTGGCTTCCTGTGCAATAGTATTATTCTTAATGCTAGAGTTGACATCTTCACCAATGATGTTGGTTCAGGATAGACTGGCAGCAGGATTACTAGCTCCTCAGGTATCGCCGGGGATCTCTCATTTAGCCCCGAAATATGGGGTTTTATACAAATATATTTGGTATTCTTACGATTCTCGAAGTAGTGTACACACCCAACTCACAAGATAGGATTGTAATGAAAAATGCGCGAATTTTAATACAGTAGTATCCAATGTATAACTTTACCTTGACATTTTTGACATATCGCCAATAAGCTATACACAACTAACTACAGGGAGTCTGAAAAGAAAACCCTATATTTAGATTCATTATTTTAAAGACCATACTAGTCCTAGTGAACACAATTTCACGAAAGTTAAATTGAGAATTATACGTTTTATTATGAGAAGTTTGGATATGATACGGTGTGTTTGAAAACCTTATAACTTAACCACTTTTTTCCCAACCTAGCACTTCTTTCGTTTCTTTTCTTTTAGAGATGCGAGATTGGCGATTTGAATAAGATGCTTTCAGTGTGCAGGATGTCGCGAGGATTAATGAACACTGTCCAGAACATGCGATGCTTAGAGTAGCTTCATTTAGGGATAAGCTTGACATGCTGATGAAGAACGACGGAAGGAATAATGAACATATTATGTAACACTTTGAACCGTATTCTGATTTGCCTCTATAAAGACAATGAATCTCAATGTGCTTCTGGTGAAATCGTATTCTTCCAGCAGGAGTTGTTTAAGATATAATAACTTTATATATGGTATAATATTTTTTAATCATCCTCCGTTTTATTTATTCCACGTGCACCATTCATGTTTACAGGAGTGGAGAAATAAGACCACGTCCTACCGACAGAAATTAGGAATTAGCGTCGGGTTGGCAATTTTTGCTGTAAATCGAATGTTTAGTTTGTTTGGAATTTCGCGCAAAGCTGCTCGAGGGCTATCTGTGCTAGGAGTCCTTAATTTAGTAGTGATAACTAGAGGAAAAACATCTAGTCAACACCACCCACCGCCAACTCTTGGGCTACTATTTACCAACGAACAATAGGATTAAAGTGTAAAATCATAATGCCCTACGACTGAAAGGTCGAGCATGTTCGTTGGTGGGGATTCGAACCCTCAATCTACAAATTATGGGTCGAGCGTCTTAACCACCAGGCTATGCCAGGCGAAGTAAATGTGATACGAAAGCGTTTAAGCGAAGAGTGTTTTGTAGTAAAATATATTTTGTTTTTTTAAGTGTTTTCTAAAGGATTTGATACTACCCCTAACACATACAAACATGTTGCTACACATGCCACAAACGAAGATTATTATTAATACAGGCCGAAGGGACAACTAAATTATCCGTACAAATAACACATGCAACGAGAAGCAAATGGTGAATATTGTTATATACCACATATATCAAGAAGTATTTGGACAAATTAGACATACTGTGAAAGGTGCTAATAGAACGGAGCACTGCAGCCATTTTTAGCAAGAATAAAACAATAGCGACTGATGTTAGTACACACAATATAAACAGTTACTGGGGTTAATACACGTAGCACATATAAGTTAGTACAAAAACACAAACGTGACTGGTCTTACTACACATAGCACAATTGGTGACATAAACACAAACGTACTTCTTACTACACGTAGCACAACAAGTGACATATATTGTACAATAACACAAACGTGATTGGTCTTACTACA